AAGAAAAATTTTGTTGGCACTAATTATATTCAGAGAAAGAATGAAAGAAATTTTTGCGATCAAAAAAAAAATAATCTGACCGAGATAAAATCGAAAATTACTTGTGATAAGGTAAAAAAAATTTTTTTTTTTTTTTCGATAACAGGATTATCGCCAATAGAAATTCCGCGATAAACATTATCATAGAATGTAAACTACGATCAATCTTTTAACGAAACATACAATAAATGTGAAGCATATTAAACAGTGGGTGCGACGACCTCTATTTCATATAAGTAAACATTTCTGAAAATGATTGTGAAAAAAAGAAAAAGAGTTATATTTATATATGATAGAAAGAAATCAAAATGATATAATAAAAAATTAATTTACAAGATCAAAACTTTATAAAATAAAAAGTTAATTTACAAGATGATAATAAGATCTATATGTATCTATGGTGTAATATTATGGTCCAGAGCAACTTCGTCTAATCTCAAACTAAAATACTAACTTTATTAAAACAAGATCCTAAATTAATATTGGCTAAAGATATATATATATATATATATATATATATATATATATATATATATATATATATATATACATAGGTTAAAATCGATGATATGCACAAAACAGTGTACATAATGGATTATTATACCCTAAATAATATAAAGAATCATATTATTCAGCATTGTTATAAATTCATTTATAAATCATACATAAAGTCTCATTCGGGTTTCATAAAATTTTTTTATAAACAGATATTCAATTAAAATTTGTCCTGTATGACATAAAAATATCATTTTTAATCAATTATTATTTAAATACATTTTATATTTACATATATATATATATATATATATATATATATATATATATATATTATATGAGTTCATACATCTATTGCCCCAGTATTATAAAAGTTACGTAGACTTGACGAAACAAAGCACACGTATAGTCGTTCGAAAATCAAAAAAAAATCCAAAAAGAAAAGAAAAAAAAAAAACAATCACGGATACGAGTTCTAATTAGAGTAATAATTTTTTCATTTACTTTTCTTTCACTCACTTATCTTTTCATTTATTTTTCCAAAATGGCCAACTTGAATGACCTTTCTATGACGTATCCCTTATCATTTCTTTTTCCTTCGCTTTCTCTCTCTTCTTTTTCTTCTTTTTTCTTCGGAGAAAAGAAAAAAAAGAAGAAAATAAATAATAATAAATGTGGATATTAGAAAGTGGTTTAGTAGATAATGAAATTTATTGCTTGAATAACCACGTACGATGTTAATGCCAACGTTAATGAAAATCCCTTTTAATGAAGGTACGGTCAAATCTACAGGTCTACCGACTTAATGTTATTCTTATTAAAGAAGAAAAGTGAGAACAAAGGATGTTAAAGGAAGAGAAATGTATTTTCCCTGGAAAAGGGATTCTCATGCATTCTCATTCTCTCGTTCTGGTGAGAAGAAGAAAAAAAAAAGAAAAAAAAAAAAAAAGAAAGAAATGAAGAAAAAAAGAAAAAAAAAGAGAGAAATGAAGAAAATTAAAAAAAAATAAAGAAAGAAACGAGAGAATAAAACTTCTTCAAAATTTACATCGAACAATATCAATACGTAATTATGTTAATGATTTTAACATTATTAATGATTTTAATTACGTCACTTTCATTTCATATATATGTGTGTACGTATTAATCGTATTCTTGTGCTTTGAATATCAATCTTTAGTAAGAGTTAATAGAGAAGAAGCGTCCGTGATAAAAAGGAAAAAAAAAAGAAAAAGAGAAAGAAAGAAAAAAGAACTAAGAACCATTGATTGTCGAAATCGTAAGGGTGTAGAGATCGAGTAAAAAAAAAAAAAAAAAAAAAAAAGAAAAAAAAAAGAAAAGAAAAAAGAAGCAATGCATCTTAAAATGCGACTTATCATTTTTTTCGCGCGCTTCTCTTTTTTTTCTGTTTTTTTTTTTTTTTCTTTTTTCCTTTTCTATTTTCATTAAAGAAAGCCGATAAATCTAATCTACGAAGTTTTGATTTTGCCTACAGAATACTTAATACTTTCATATAAAAGAAAGATCAGAAGATTCCAATGAAGGGCTTAACATCGGTCATCTGATTTATATCGTCTCTTTTGCATCCAGACTGGCCAATGTAAATCAGTCGATGACAGCTTTTTACCATGCACTATTTCCGGTATAGTATAACTTGGCAAACGAAGAACCAAGGCGCCGTTAACATCTGCTCGATGCAACGTTCCAAGAAAAACAACTAACGTGGTCGTTCTTTCGATAGATATTATCGATCGATATATACCATAAAACGTGAGTAGGTTTTCGTTAGATTATAATACTCTATAGTGATATTAGAACATATTTGTGTTGTACAATGTGTATACAGATTTAAAATTATTTACTTTAATTCTTTTATTTTAATCATTTATATATAATATATACATATATATATATATATATATATATATATATATATATACATATATATATAGTTTAGAAATAAATC